ACCACTTGGGTACCAAACTGCAGGTACCAACTCCAGCCCTAAACCTGAAACTTCTCTCCTCTCTCTCTGTCCTCAGTTCCTGGGCTTTTCCAAACTATAAAGAGTTGTTTTTTAGTTAATTTTTTTAAGCCCAGCCAACTTTGTTGTTTTGTTATATTGGAGTTTCATTTACAGAGGAGACATGGACTGAGATGTCAATACAGTGGAAACAACATTGTGAATGAGTGTAAGACTGAAAATAATTAAACTTCTTAAGAAACTAACCTTTTTTTTAAAGAACTTTAGCATATTCACAGAATTCTAGAATTGTAGAATAAGAAAAGACCTCAGACATCATCTAGTTCAGCATCCTACTCAATGTACATATCTCTTCTAGAGCATCCTTAGCAATAATGATAACAACAACAAACAACTATAATTTTTATAATGCTTTTAGGTTAGCAAAACACTTCACACATAGATCAACTCATTTGGTCCTCTTAACAATGCTGACAATGTTGTGAGATTAAGGCTATTATCTCCATTTTACAGATGAGGAAACTGAGCCTGAGACAGGTTAAGTGACTTGCCCAGGATCACACAACTAGGAAGCATCTGCAATGGAATTTGAATTCAGGTATTCTGATGCCAAATCAAGTACTTTATCTACTTTAGCTACTCTAACTGCCTTCTGTGGTCATTCAGCCTCTGCTTGAATACTTTCAACGATGAAGCAACATCACTAAATAACATACCCCTATTTGATTATTGGATATTGTTGACTGTTTGGGCAGTCTTACTTCCATCTACTGAAATGAGGTCTGCCTCCCTATAACTTTTTCCTATCATTATTAGTACTTCTCTCCTCTAGAGAAATGAGGGGTCAGTTGAGCTTCCTGCCTCCCTCCCACTTCTTCAGCTAGAAGTAAACAGTGATCACATCTTTCCTAAGTCTTCTCTTGTCCAGGTCAACTATCCACATTTATGTTTGACATGATTTTGAATCTCTTTACCAAACTGCTAGCCCTCTTTTCTTGACATTTTGCAATTTGTCAATGTCCTTCAAATGTTGCTGCTGTGAGAAATGACTTATCTGTCTAGAAGGAAAAGATGAGAGAACCATGGCCTATAAAGGTTCAGTAATTCACCCTGGGTCACACTGGAATGAAGCAATAGCTCTCGGCTAAAATTGGTCCCCCTGTAACTTCTCCTTGTCCTTCCAGTTCTTCCCTCTGAAGAAAAAGACAAGAAGTGTCTTCCTTCTTCATCCACATGCAGACAGTGTCCACGCCCTTCATGTCTTTACTTGTGTGGTCTAAACATCTAGTTCCTAAGCAGGTCAGGATGCACTTCTATTTGGAAACATTTTGTCAGCAGCAAGTGCTTAAAAGTAATTAAATCTGACTTCTTTGCAAAAAATCTGTGACTTAGAATTTTCTCTAATTTAATCCGAAACAGCTGTTCTCCAAACACAATGACCCCTTTCAACACATTCTAGGCCTTCCAACAGCTCTTTTAAAAGGAAGATATGCTAGTTAGGAAGTTCAAAAAGAAGGTGTAAGAGAAAAATAAAAATGACACTCTCACTTCACTTTTTTTTTTACTTAGTTTCTGACAGACGCCTTTTAAATGGATCGGCTTTATGCCATATTAGTGGAATGGTAAGAAAGAGAAAGACAACTGGATTTCTAATCAGAGCACCTGGGTTCAGATCCCAGCTCTGCTACTTACTACCCATGTGACCCCAGGATAAGGCTTAACCTCTTCCTGCCTTAGTTTTCTCATCTGTACAATGACATTGGATCATATGAGCTAGCCATTAATAAATTGATCTTGTCCTTGATAAGCCAAAGAATACCCAGAAGAGGGCAAACAGAGTGATGAAAGACTTGGCATCCATGCCCTAAAAGGAACTGGGATGGAACTAGGGATATTCAGCCTTTGGAAGAGTTAGGGGGCACATGATAGCTGTCCTTAAGTAACAGAAGGACTGTCACCTGGAAGAGAAATTAGATATATTATGATTTGCCCTCAGAAGGCCTAGTACTATGAACAACAGGTATCAGTTTTGAGAAGCTAATAAAGCATTCATTTAACACATCATCTGTGCTAGACCCGAAGAATACAAAGACAAAAATGAAGTGGTTCACACACTCAAAGAGCTTGCATTCTATTTGGGTTGGAGGAAGGAACAATACAGTTCTATATAAGTATATACAAAAGGTATATGTACAAACACAATGTAATTTTTTGGGGGTTGGGGAAGGTGATCTAACAGCTGGACAGAGCAGAAATGGGCTCATGTTGATGATTTTGATGAAACCTAAGTATTCTAAGAGGTGGAAGTGAGGATGAAGTACATTCCAAGCATGGTGGGCAGCTTGTGCAAAGAAATGGAGAGGGAGGATGGAATATCAAGAGTAAGGGGGTAGCAAGAAGGCCAGTTTGGATGGAAAGTAAAGTGTGCAAAAGGAAGTGATGTGAAAAGAGGTAAATTCTGGATTGATGTAATGACAAGCTTCCTAATAACCAGAACTCTCCAGGTGAAATGAACCACCTCAGGAGGTGGAGGGCTCCCCGTCACTGTACCTCTTTAAGCAAAATCTGGATGACCACTTGTTGGGTACACTATAGAGAGGAACCTTTATCATATTTGGGTTGGACCTACACTGTGCTTCAAGTCCTTACCTTGTTCAAAATGCTGTGATCCCATGACCTGTAAAGTCCCTTCTGGCTCCACATCTATGAGCCTATGTCTTTTTTTCTCCACACAACACAGCAGAAATATAGCATTGCCCAACAAGAGGTATCTCTGGTTCCAATTTTATATTAATTTGCCATACTTGTTTTGTGTCCAACTCTTAATTGTGCTCTTTTCAACTTAACAATGGTGGCTAATGGTAAAAGAACTGAGAACAGTAGACTCAGCAGAGCTCATTCTGTGAGGAGCGCAACGGAAACAATGTCCGATTGCATTCCTCAGCTGCTGTGTGCTGCCTGGAACTCTACTCACAGAGCCATTCGGGAAACATGGAGCAACCAAGGTCACTCAAGATCCCGGGGTCTCTGGAAGGAGGCATTTGGGAAAAAGTCATTTTAGACTCCCAGGTCCTCGGTAGGGAACGAAGCTTTAAAAACACGTTTCTTAGCCCCAAGAGAATGAAAACCTTAAGCTGCGTTAACCAGTTGAATCATCAGAGCAGGGGAGGTGATAGTATCTCTGTGCTTTATGCCGGTCAGAAGGTCAGAACCTATCCGGAGTACCTAATCCAGTCCCTTCCCACATGAGGGACACTGACAAGATGGGAAGTAAGGTGGAAGCACACTTTCTGGCTACTTGACTGGTAGGCAGATTCCATCCAGGAAGAGTTTTATTTAAACAAGCAATAACCATCAGAGCTAAGACAATGACAATGTACTTTGAGACTTCAATATAAGTGCATCCTTTCCTGAACTGAGGCCCTTCAGTGTAAATAAAACAAACACTGATCGACTAGAAAGAACCCGTAATAGACTAACCATCTATCTGTCATCACCAAGACCAGCCAAGCTTCATAGAGCCATGTCATCACATTGTCCACAAGGCGATAAATGTTAATCAGATATCACCACCTTGTCTGCTCTATGCCGTGCTTTCTCTGCTTCGACCATGATCTCCACCACCTCCTCCTTACCGATAATCTGAACTCTGCCCCTGGATCTCTCTGTTCTGAGCAGTGTAATTTTGTCTTATTATACTACCATGTCACTTCCCAGGCCCTTCCACGCCACACCTGGGTGGTACTCCCCTCCTCCTTTTCAGTTTCCCTTTATTTCTAGCTTCCCCTTATCAGTATGTAAGCTCCTTGAGGGCCAGTAATATTTTTTTGCTTTTATGTCCATTTCAAGTGCTCAGCTCCCCGGTGCCTGGCACATAGTAAGTACTTAAGCTCTTTCTATGGAATTGGGAAGACCTGAGTGCAAATCTGGCCTTAGACACTTACTAGCTATGCAACCCTGGACAAGTCACAAACAGAGTTATTGTTTTCCTCAGTTCCTTATTTGTAAAATGAAATGGAGAAGCAAATGGCAAACTACTTCAGTATCTGCCAAGAAAACTCCAAATGGGGTCACGAAGATTAGAGACTACCGAAACAATTGAACAACAACCTAATCAATTAACTAGCATTCATTAAGTACCTCTTAGAGATGGAAGAAACCTTAGAGGCCATTTAGCCCAACCCATCCTGAGGGAGGGAAGGAAGTTAAGTGACTTGCCCAAGGTTATATGGATAGTATGACAGTAATGGTCAAGTTGGGGGTAGGGTGGGGAATGACCTAGGTTCTCTCATTCTTGAGCCAAGGGCCACAAAAACTCAATAAAGATCATCTAATATGGCATAGATGCTTATTATGATATGCATCAGGAGTGCTCATGTTGATAGAATCATGGGTCCTTGAATTGCTGATTTCAGTGATCTGATATTTCTTCTACCTGAATCCTCATATACTGCCCTCATAAGCAATGATTAGAGTAGTGGACTTGTGATCGGAATTAGCGGGGCCCAAATATTCTGATACTCACCAGCTGTGTGACCATCTGTAAGTCACAACCTCTCTTGAGTCTCAGGCCACTTCTAAAACTACAAGGTACAGACAGGTTGTATTCTGCATCTATGGAGGACCACATTAGCAAGATCATAGATTCCTAATACCTGGATCTATTGATGATCCTTTGTCACAAGACAAGGGACAATCCATTAGTGGCCTCAGCTCAAATCTCCTGCTTTCTTACACCTGCAAAGCAGCCACTCTGAAAACCCACTTCTGTCATCCGGGGTATACTGACTGATGGCTGAGGCCCACCCAGATGCCTTCTGACCCTCTCACTGGAAGTCCTGGGGCACTTCTGAGGCTGGAGGGAAGTTGCTACCGAGAAGGGGGAGCCTTCTCGGCTTGGCCTTCCTGGGTCCAACAACCAGCTGAGCGAATTTGAAAATGGAAAAGACTGGAAAGGTTGGTCTTCCCTTTCCCATACTCACTCCATTGGCTTTGCTCAAAGCCTGGAAGTAGATGCTGTAACTTTTCAAGGGCGAGAGCGGAGCGTTCCAATAGCCATTGTAGGTTTTATTGTCCCCCACCGTGAATGGCTGTGTAACTGGCAGGTTGACAGGCTTCAATTCAGCGGCGAAATAGTGCAGAGAATCCAGGCTGGAAGCGTTCTTGTAGCTCACAGGCACCGAGAAGCACTCAATGAGGTCTGCAGCCCTCCTGGCCTTCTGAAGTCTCTCCTCCTTGACGACCAGCTGATAGACACTGGGAAAGGGAGGTAGGAAGAAGATGAGCAAAGCAAGAACTCAGTTGTCCTAGACCGCTAAAGGCAAGAGGGGAACAGGTGAACAGGCAGGGACACAGGCGAACCTTGGGACCGAAGCGTCTTGGGAGGAGAGTCCCTGCATGAGGTGGATGGCTAGTCTACCGACCCCAGCCTGCTTCAGTGGCTCTGTGTCATTCCGGAAGAATGTGTACATAATTTCTATTCTCCAGGATTAGATGGGGAACGAGGTGGGGAGACTGCATGCAACGAAACACACCTTTATGACACAGTCCTCACCACTCAGCGGCTGGGTGACCTTGGGCAACATATCTCACTTATCTGGGCCGCAGTTTTCTTGATCAATAAAATGAGAGGACTCAACTAGATGACTTTTATTTTTGTTGTTTAATCATTGCAGTTGTGTCTGCTTCTTTGTGACCCTATTTGCAGCTTTCTTGGCAAAGATACTGGAGTAGTTTGCTACTTTTCCAGCTCATTTTAAAGATGAGGAAACTAAGTCAGACAAGGTTAAGTGACTTGCCCAGGGTCACACAGCTAGTAAGTGTTCGAGGCCAGATTTGAACTCAGGAAGATGAGTCTTCCAGACCTTAGGCCCAGAGCTCTATCCACTGCAGCACCTAGCTGCTCTGATGACTTCTATAGTCCCTTCTAGTTCCAAATCCACGGTCATACGACCCTTGTCTTATGTAACCTACTGACCTGACTTCTTGGGACCTCGACTTCTAGAGGAACTGAATTCAGTGAAAATATGCATATGTCCTTGGATGTCATAGACCATCACAGAATGCCAGAGCTGAAGGGACCTTATCAATAGTATAGCGTAATGCTCTCATTTTCCAGATCTAGAAACTGAAGCCCAGAGGATCTTTCTAAGGTCATATAACTAATGAATGTGACACTACTCTTTCCTCCAATACAGGGGTTCTTAAAATGTTGATTACCATGGACCCTTTTTGGTAGTCTGGAAGGCAAGGAGACCTTCTCACAATGATGGTTTTTTAAATTAAATTCTTTATGAGAGCTAGCATTTCCATAGCAATGTAAGGTTTTACAAAACATTTGACGTATGTTATCTCATTTGATTCTTCTAATAGCCCTGTGAGGTAGGTGCCATTATTAACCCCTTTTTAGTTGAGAAACCAAAGGTGAGAGAGATGTTTGGTTTAAGGAAATACTAAATTTCAGTTAGAGGTTAGTGAAAATAAAGATGCCATTTTTTCCTATCCAGATTCATGGACCCCCTGAGGTTGAGAACCCCTACTTTGTACTATACTTCTGTGTCCTGAGATTCTGTTTTATCAGACTCTGAATAAAACTGGGAGATTATGCTGAATACATTTTATCGCAGTAGATGCTCTCATGCTGAATAATGCAGCTTCTGCAAGAGCGCCAGGGGTAAAGTGTTCACTTCTCTACCTGCTTTCCTTAAGGGGCCACAGCCTCCGTTGAAAAATAGTAAATGTTTTCAAACAATAATATGGGTCTTTGGGTCTCTGGGGTGGGGGGTGGACTGAGGTGGGAGGTGTTAGGGGAAGGGAACACGTTCTGAATTTTCACTCCAAACAAAATGTCTTTGAAAAGTTGAAAATCTGGATAGCTTTCCCCACCTGTTTGCATTTTTGTTTCTTTCCTTCTTACCTAAATCCAGTACTACATTTTTTTTGAGGCAATTGAGGTTAAGTGATTTGCCAGGGTCACACAGCTAGTTAAGTGTCTGGGGCTGGATTTGATCTCAGGTCCTCTTGGACTCCAGGGTTAGTACTTTATCCATTGCACCCCCTAGCTGCCCCAATAAATATAATACTTTTAAAAGTAACCCAGAGTCACACAGCTTATCTGTATCTGAAAGTGGCTTTGAACTCAGGTCTTCCTGACTCCTGATAGACCTGGCACTTGCTCTATCCACTGTGCCACCTGGAAAGATGCAGGTTTCAATTCAATAAACATTTATTGAGCACCTACTGTGTGCCAGTCACCATGTTAGGCACTGGGAGTTCCAAAGACAAAAACTAAACAGTGTCCACCCTCAAGGAGCTGACATTCCTCTTGGGGACAATAACGTGTATAGATAAAAGTAAATATGAGGCAATGTGAGAAGGGAGAGAGAAAAGTTCAGTTAATTAGTTGTTTGCTTTTTAAAAATTTTAACAGTGTTCTCTTCTTAGCATCCCCAAACACTCTGCAGAACCTACCTCAGCTAATCCCTCTACACTTGCAGAAGCACTGAAAAAAGGCAGAAAAGCAAGGAAAAAATTCAGCTTGTGGAGGATTAGTGGTTTGCATAAGGGAAGGGCAAAAGGCAAAGGAAAACGAGATTGACTTCAAGCTAGTCAGGCAGTATGCTTCTTGCTTCCTTTTCATTTCTTTCCATAGCAGTCCTCATATTTTGACCAGAGATCTATTTTTTTCTGAAATAGACAAATTATTGGGATTTGAGGAGGAATAGTGGGTGAGTCCTTCTTTCTTTTCTATTTGTGAGTCCCAAAATTTTATTCCCAGCCTAGTTAGAATCACACAAAATAACAAAGCCTATCTCATTCCCAAAGGACGGCTGCATTAATATTGCAATTCTTCCCTCCCTCTCTCCAGTGCAGCTCCTGTAGAAATGAAATCAATGGGTTAAGAACCTCACTTCTAACATCTAAGCCTCAGATTGAACCCAGACACTGCCTGAGGCTCACTACTTCCCACTTTGTCCCTCCTGAGGCTTGTGTGTAAGGTTATTTAAAGACAAGTAACCTAAGGTAAGAGACAGGGCACTGGAGAGTCGTAGGAGAGGAATACAGAGACATGGGTTCAAATCCTGATTTTGCTATTAATTCTGAGTCCTTGAGGCTAGACTACTAAGAGAATTCCTAGGATTCCTTCCATTCCTTACACATTAGATGTCTAGGACTTTGTCGCACAAATTCGTTTTCAGTTCTCTGCCTTTCATGGAGACTAGGGCCTATGGTTATTGTAAGGAAAGGGGAAGAAAAGGTAAGCTACCCTGTTCTTAGTTATACATTTTTTTTTAAAAAAAAGAAGAAAGAAAATAATATTCTTTTTTTCCTCTCATGTCATTCTTAGTCTCCTCTGCATTGTGCTACAAATACATGTGCAGAAGAAGATGCTTTATTTAAGTTTACAGGTAAAGATAAAATCATACATAAATAAAACTATTTCCACAGCTCACAAGAAGAGCTTGCAATAAACTCTTCAGGAAAATTTGCAAGGGAATGGTAGTTTTCAGGGAAAATATTCTGATGGCAATATGAGAGTACTTTAAAATATCCTACAACAGATTATATTTACTCATACATTTCCCCTTTCTCATATTGTTCTGTCTTCAGGAAAGGTCATCAGACGACAGTCTCCCCCAGCCTTGCTCTAAGTTTACGGCATATCAAAAGTCTGTCCATCCACTTAACCCTTTTATATTCACAGTATATTAGAGCTTGAAGGAACCTTGGAAACCATTAAGCTCATCCCCCTCTTATTTTTTTTTATTAAGAAGGAAACTGAGTGAAATGACTTACCTAAGGTAACAGAGCTAGTAAGTGGCAGAGTTGAAACTAACCCCAGTCTCCTGACTTATATCCATGTTCTTTCTACTACACCAAGAACTTCCTTGTCAAATATTCAAATATTTTCAACACAACTTACTTGTGTGCACACACGCATGCATGCATATGTGTGGTATATATGTTCCTAGTGTGAATAAATCTTGTTTTCTATTTTAGAAATCAAAAGTGAACCAGTATTCCTTTCTTAGAGATTCTTATAGCCAGCTTCTCAATAATGCATTTATTTTATGAAACATAGACACAGAGAGGTCATGTGGCACAGAGGATAATATTCTGGACTTGGAAGCAGTTATGTTATTTAATTTCTCAGATCCTTACTTTCCTTATCTGTACAATGGGGATAATAAAACTTATCTCACAGGGCTGTTTTTTGTAAGGTTCAAATGAGAGTAAAACACTTTGCAAACCTTAACTGTCAGTCGCATTTGGCTAACATGTTATTGCTGTTTTTGTTACACAGACTGTAAATAACAAAACTTCAACTATCACCAAATAGGTGATCTCATATCATGGCAAATGTGTAGAGCTCAACGTACTAATGACATTGAGAATGAAGAACATAAAGTCATATTCTTGCCTATAAATGCAAAAAAATGTAACCCATAGTGATCTTTGGTGGCCTTTTCCTAGAAGTCTCCAGGAGGCAGTTACTCCCCAGTGAAAGACAATATGGCTAACGATATGAAATGTAACAAAACTCCATTTTGAAAATGAAAATTAAAGTACAGGAGATAAGGAAAAGATAAGGAGGGTGGATGGCCACACTTAGAACTTCTGGCAATGGGGCCAAGTGTTTGTTGATGTTTCAGTAATAGGGAACACTTAGAATGCTACTCAGAGGATCACTGATGAAGACGATGAAGATGATGTTTCTATTGAGAGAAAGAAAACAGCTCAGAGGAGGCCTAGTTCAGCCTGTTTCAATAATCAGCATTGAAGAAAGGCATGCCTATCATGGCTAATTGTGATTCTGTGCATACAAGGCACTGAAGTAAGGTTCATCTAGCTTTCCTAGGAAAGCCCAGATGCAGAGAGTATCCAGGATGCCTTGTCAAAGCAGCTAGGATGGTCTCTGAAACCAGGCCTGGGACTACAAGAGGCACAGAGGAGGGAAGAACAGATACTTTGATGCCTTACCCTTTCCTCTGCCCCTGCAAAAACTAAAGAGTCTCTTTTCATAGACTTGCCACCACATGTAGAAATTAAGGTTTAAACTAGGTCTGAAGGAGAAGAGGCCCCAGACAGTTAGATGAGCTACTGTGAGGAAGAAAGGAGGAAAAGGGGTGCAGCAGCTTCGGGAAGAGAAAGAGAGCTCATGTGGTTACCTGGCTGACACAGCTGGGGTCATTGTCATTGTACAGCCATGTGCTTATAAAGAGCATCCAAAAACTGGATGTTTGTGAATCAGGAAC